GCTTGAACCCATGGGTGCTTTACCTCAATCCTTTTTATTTCTTATTTTGAGGCAGGGTCTCACCACGTTGCTAATTGGCTTACCAAATTACTGAGGCTGGCCTTGAACTTGCAATCCTCTGGCTTCAGCTTCCTGAGTCTCTGGAATTACAGGTGTGCATCACCACACCCAGCCAACATGTATTAATTTTTAAATGAAAAAAAATAGACAACAACAACAAAGTAAACTCAGTTCAGGAAGCCTGGCATGAAAACGGAAGCAACATGCTTGGGTGAGCTCAGTGGCCGAGCGCTGGCTTAGCATGTGCAAGGCCCTGGGTTCCATCTCCAGCACCTAAAAAAAGGGAGTTGGGGGCGCTGGGGTTGTGGCTCAGTGGTAGAGCGCTTGCCTAGCATGCGTGAGGCCCTGGATTCAATCCTCAGCATCACATAAAAATAAATAAATAAAATAGAAGTATTAAAAAAAGGGAGGGGGAATGGATTAAAACCTTCCCCCCATTATCTTCTGTTCCTTTCCAGTTTTTTCTTGTCAACTTGTCCAAACAAAGAAATAATAATGCTATTCTCTACCTTCCCTTCTTAGGTTTGGGAAGACTGCAGGACCATTTTTTTAAAATATTTATTTTTTAATTGTAGTTGGACACGATACCTTATTTTATTTATTTTTATGTGGTGCTGAGGATCGAACCCAGGGCGTCACATGTGCTAGGCAAGAATTTTACCACTGAACCACAACCCCAGCCCCCCCAGGACCATTTTTATTATAGGTGGGAGGCCAGGGCAGAGGACCACAACAAGATTAAAGGCTCCACCCAAGTCCCAACCAACAGAAATGACCTTTAAGATCTATTCTGTTCATTCAGTCTTCTTGTTGACACAGATACTGGCTGGTTTCTTTGTGGTCCTTGTTCCCAGGTGGAACTAAAGCTCTTATCACCGAGGCATCAGATCTGTTGCCTCCTGAGGCTGCCAACCTACTTATTTGCTCTAGACCTGCCCAGCAAAAAGGCGACTCCCCCAGTTCTCCTTACCGTGGGAATCCACCCTGGAATTTTGTCCCTTCTCCTTCCTTCTCTTTCATGTGTGCTGAGTGGACAGTGGGGTGGAGTGAGACCTTGGGAGCAGTAGACCATGACGGAAAGAACACAGGCTTGGAGTGAGACAGATTTGGCATAAAATCCTGCCTGTCATGATTAACTGCACTATATTGGGAAATTCTCTCTCTCTCTCTCTCTCTCTCTCTCTCTCTCTCTCTCTCTCTCTCTCTCTTTGGTGGTGCTAGGGATTGAACCCAGGGCCTTGTGCATGTGAGGCAAGCACTCTACCAACTGAGCTAGATCCCCAGCCCGGGAAATTCTCTTAATCACTGAAAATTTCTTAACTTTCTTGAACCTTGGCTTTTGCTTCAGTAAAATGAGAATAAAACCTGCCTCACAGGTTGTGACAAGGAATATGCACAATGAAAAATGCCTGTAATCCCAGTGATTTGGAAGGCTGAGACAGGAGGATTACAAATTGGAGTCCAGACTCAGCAACTTAGTAAGGCCCTGTCTCAAAATAAATTAAAAATAAAAGGCTGAGGTGTAGTTCAGTGATAAAGTACCCTTAGGTTCAATTCAAGAAAGAAAAGAAGGGAAGAAGGGAGGAAAGAAGGAAGGAGAAAAATGCTAAGTATCTTAAAATCGTGAGGGTGACCTGGGAGGTAGCTAATATGATTATTAGGTGGCAAGAGATGGGCTTTCCCTGGTGGGGTGGGCAGAGCCCACCAAGGCAAAGTTCCATTTGTCCTGTTTCTAACAGGGCTGACTTCTGCACTGGGCAAGGTGCCTAGGGTGCACAGCACTTCTGTGGGCCCATGAAAATGCTTTTTAATGATTTTAATTTTAATTTCCTTTAAAATGAGTAGAAACAACAAATTTTAGGTTAAATAATATTAATGTTGCTATATTGATTATTAACCATAGATAGATAATATTATATCTTCCTTATGCCAATGCAGTTATAAAATACGATTTTTAACTTTTTTTTAAATGAAGAAGCACACAAAGGCAAATGTGCCAAGGGCCCAGAAAGGTTATAAATCAGTCTTACTTTCCACCCCTGAAGGATATCTCCTTTAGGATATCTCTACAGTTTGGGCACAGGGATGTGGAGGAGGCATTGGCAGGAAGGGTGGAGTGGAAAGCTGGACCCTTGATCTCATCCTTCAAAGAATAAGCTGTCTTCCTGTCCGTGATTGCTATTCTTCTTCTTCTTTTTAATACCTTTATTTATTTATGTGGTGCTAAGAATCAAACCCAGTGCCTTACACATGCTAGGCAAGTGCTCTACTATTGAGCCACCACCCCAGCCCCTGTGATTGCTATTCTTTTCTCCATTTCTGTTCCTGAACTTACATTTGCTTGGACCCTGTGGGTAGGTATTGATATGTCCTAAAATATCACTCATTGGGTCAAGAATGTAAATATCAACAAAACAACAATATAACAACTCAATTAAAAGATGGGTAAAGACTTGAACAGACACTTTCCCAAAGATATCCAGATGGCCAATAAGTACACAAAAAGATGCTCAGCATCACTAATTATTAGGGAAGTGTGAATCAAAACCACAGTGAGATACTACTTTACACCCAGTATGACTACTCCAAAAACCCTAGAAAATAATAAGTGTTGATAAGATATGAAGAAATTGGAACCTTTGTACATTGCTGGTACGAATGTCAAATGGAATAGCCACAAGGAAAAATGGCATGGTGGTTCTTAAAAAAAAAAATTAAACATAGAATTACCACATAATACTGCAATTTCACTTCCAGTTATATATCCAAAAGAACTGAAAGCAGAGACTTAGACAGATATTTGAATACCCATGTTCAAAGCGGCATTATTCACAATAGCCAAAAGGTAGAAGCAACCCAAGGGTCCAACAGATAAATGGATAAACCAAATGTAGCATATACATATGATGGACTATTACTCAGATTTAAAAAGGAAGGAAATTCTGACAGATGCTACAACATGGATGAAGCTTTAAGGCATTATGCCAAGTGAAATAAGCCAGACTAAAAGGGCTAAAATTATATTACTCTATTTATATAAGGTACACAGAAGAGTCAAATTCATAGAAATAGAAAGTAGAATGGTGGTTGCCAGGGGTCAGGGGAGGAGAGAATGGGGAGTCAATGTTTAAACCGGGATGGAGTTTCATTTGGGAAGATGAATGGATGGTGGTGATGGTGGCACAACAATGTTTATACTTAATACCACTAAAGATACACACAAAAATGGTTAAATGTTAACACTTGTAGTATTTATATTTTATCATATATTTTTGAAAAGGAAGAAAGAAAAAAATGTAAATAGTTCCCCTTTGCTCAGCTCTTAACCAGCCATGCCAACTGCCCAAGTATCACCTCTTTTCCCCAATGGGCAGTTCATTCTGGAAGTCCCCTGTCCTCTCCTGCTGAACACCCTTCTGGATAAGCCGCAGTCTCTATAGCTTCACACATGGCACTACCATCATCTAAATGATGTATTTAGATGCATCCCTTTTTGCCTGGACAAACAATCACATCCTGTCAAGGATGCTCAGATCCCTTTCTCACTGAGGGGTCTCAGTGGATTGAGCTAGACTTTTGCTCATTTTTCCTTTTTCTTAACCTTCTCACCAGACAACTATAAGTCTGAACTGTATTCATCACCATTCATAGGAGACACTGTCTTGGACTTCCCTGGGGGTTATCATTTGCCCATTTTCATATCAATAAACAGGAATGTTGGTTCTAATGACAAATGAGACTGCATATGAAAATGAAGGAATATAGGCCAAGCAGTTCTTCCTCTCTCACCCTGTCTAGCAAAAAGCAATCAATAGCTGGGTGCAATGGTTCACGCCTGTAATCCCAGTGGCTTGGGAGACTCAGCAAGGCGCTAAGCAACTCAGTGAGACCCTGTCTCTAAATAAATACAAAATAGGGCTGGGGATGTGGCTCAGTGGTTGAGTGCCCCTGAGTTCCATCCCCGGTACCAAAAAAACAAAAAAAAAACAAAAAAAACCAGAAACGTAAATATCTCATAGTTTGTTTGACCCAGCCTGATTATAAAACGGAAGCTGGGAATCCATTTTCAGTGTCATGAGGTAGATCTCTGCCAGAGCATACTTCCAGGGAACAATGGGTTTGTTTTTTTTTTTTTAATTTTTATTGTTGGTTGTTCAAAACATTACATAGTTCTTGATATATCATATTTCACACTTTGATTCAAGTGGGTTATGAACTCCCATTTTTACCCCGTATACAGATTGCAGAATCACATCAGTTACACATCCATTGATTTACATATTGCCATACTAGTGTCTGTTGTATTCTGCTGCCTTTCCTATCCTCTACTATCCCCAACAATGGGGTTTTGATACTGGGTCTATATAAGTGGAGTGGAATTAGAAGATAGAATCCCTTTCCAGGGAAAGGTGGGTTTCTAACTAGTACTCAATGTTACTAGAGCTTTCTAGATACTAGGCATTGTTCTAGGTGTTTTATATGGACTATCTCATTTAACTGGACAAAGAGTCTCATAAAATTTTCCTTATTTTACAAACCAGGAAACTGGAACTTAAAGGTTAGCTATACTATCTTTTGCCTCCCTATCTTTGAAAGGTTCCTTTTCCATGTTTAATTATGGGGGTTGCTGCCACACTCTTTGCCACACCTATGAATGATTAGAGGGGTGAATGTAAAGCTGCTCCTTTAGGCTTATAAAGAACTTCATAAAGTCAAGGTTATAAAGCTTTAAGTAGTAGGGCCAGAACTCTCCTGGTCCAGGAGACTTCAGAATAAAACTGCCCTAAGGGGTACACTCTGTAGCCTCCTGCTTTCCAGGACGTTTTCTTGTGTGAGGCAAGCAGGGAGGGCTGAGGCCTCTGAGAATTCCAGGCCTAGTCTAAGGGTAGGAGAGGTAGAACAATTCTCTTGCTACTGGGTTAGGCAAGGCCTTCACCTACCTCCAGGAGAAGGCGTAGTCGGGAGGTCAGTCATTGCTGCCAAGGGTTAAGTACCTTGCAGGAGAGGCAGATCTGTAGGAAGAAGGAAAAAGTCAGTAATGAGGTGGGTGGGCCTGGAGATTCCTTTGGTGCCAGGTTTTCTGGAGTCCCTTCCCCACTTCCTTTTTCCCTTACAGCTCGCTTGTCTTCAACCCTTCTCTTTGGGTCTCTCTGAGTATCTCCTCAGGCTCCAGGTAACAATCTCTCTCCAAGAGCAGATCCGGGGTCCCCCGTATCTGGGGTGTGCCACCTTTGCGACCCGTTCACAGGGCCCCCAACTTTTACCTAAGAAACTTCTAAGAGCCGAAAAAGTTAGGCAAAGTGTTGCAAATGCCAAAGCGCGACTACAGGTACCTGGACTGCTACAGCCTGGAGTTTGGGCGGAGCCATCCACTAGGTGTCAGAAGAGGGCCGACAGGGTCAGGCCCCGCGGGGTGGGGGCAGGGGGACCATCAGACACCAAGACTGGATGCAGGGGGCCCCCAGATGCCTTTCGGCGGGTCTCAAAACCCAGCTTCTCCGTGCTTGGCCCGCTTCCCCACAGTCCTGCCTTCGTTGTCCAGTGCGCCGTCCGCGCACAGCCCACCGAACCCACTGGCGCGCCCTTGCGGAACCCCAACCTGTGACTCCCTCATCCAGGGACCCCCCTCAAACTCCGCGGACGTCGAGGGTCATGCGTGGACCGTGAGGGTTGGGTGTTCGCCCCGGAGGGCCGCCGCGCCCCACCCCGCAGCCCTCCTGAGTTACCGACACTCGGAAGGGCTCCGCGAGCAGAAGGGCGCCGGTGCGCGCCGGGCGGCGGGGCCGTGCGTCCCGGGACGCCGAGCTCGGGCCGCTCTCGGTTTCAGTTCCTGCCGCGGCCGAGGTGACTGCCGATTGAGTGTGGGCGACCGCGCTCGCCTAGCCCTCCCGCCTCCCCAGATCCCCTCCTCCGCGTGCTCACCTTACCAGTCGGACAGGCTGCCGGGCAGGGCCCGACGCCGCTCCGCGGGTCCTTTTGAACTCGACGGGGGCGGGAACCGCAGAGATTCGCGGCGGCTCGGAGAGGCCGAGCGAGAGGGACGGGCGGAGGACCCCGCGAGGGAAGAAGCCGAGGACAGACGCGCAGAGTTAGCGGCGGAGGCCAGCCAGAGTGGGGGTGGGGGCCAGGCCGCCTGGGTGGGACAGGAAAAGAGGACAGAAACCGCCCTCTGCAGGTTCCCTCTGTCCGCAGGACCGCCTCTGCTCCCTAGGGAGGAAAGGCTGCCTTCCCTTCTCCAGTTGTCACTGTGCTCCCCGTCCGGAGCCGCTTCCTCTCTCGCCCAGAGGCTCCAGAGCAGATGGGATCTGAACCCCCTGCTAACTGAGGTCCGTCGGGTCTCCCCGGGGTTGACGTAATTTGAATTTTCAGCAAGTGTGGAAAATTACATATACCTGGTTTGCGTATCATTTATGCAAATTGTCTGGTGTCCCGAAACTTGGACTGTAAGCTAACTTAGGAGGCACACACGCGGGTGGTGAGACATTGCAAATGAGGTAGGCACAGAAACGAGGCCTCACCCAGATCTTCCTTGTTCAACAATCAACCGAAGCAGTGTAGTGTGGAGGGTAAGAGTGTCGTGGACTTTGGATTCAAACAGACCCAGTTCCGCTGCTTGCTAGCTGTGTGACTCTGGACAAGTTAACACCTCCAAATTCTGTTTCCTAGCAGAATTTAGGAGATTTGAAAGTGATCATTGCCTATAAAGCCATTACACAGCCACAGTTCTAGCACATGGTAAGCACCTTAATATAAATGTTAACTAGCACCATACTTTAGCTCCCTTTTGACTCACTTCTTTGTGGCAGGAAATGTTCCCACATTAATCAGAGTACCTCAATGAGTAAGAGGATGTAATAGTATACAACACAGGCTGTAGAATTGGCTCTGCTGTGTAATTTTGGACAAGTTGCTTCTGTTTCATTTCTTTTTCCCGGGGTAATACCTGTCTCACCATAGCATTACTGTGGGGATAGAATAAGTTAATTCATACAAAGCATTAGAGCCTTACCTGGCACATAGTAAGTGCTCAATAAACATTAGCTATTGTTATCCTGGCCATCCACTTAGAGTTGGACTTCTTGTAGTTATTCTGCCTTCCATCCCAGTGATATAGACTATTGTGCTTATTCCTTATTCCTTTAAGTTCTACAGATTTGAGAATCAATATTTATATAGATGATTAGAAAGACAGGTGCCATCAGGTTGTGGGTATTCATCTGGTGAATAAAGACTGAAAGTCTGAGAAAAAGGCATGAAGTGAGAAAAAAAATAGTAAAGCAAGAGTAACTGCTTTCATTCATAAGTGTTAGTTGATTAAAAAAAAACAGGAGCAAAAAGAAGAAAAGGGGAAACAAGAAAAAGTTGACGAAATTCACTTCATATTTTTAAAAGGCAAGGCAGTATCAGCTAGGAAGAAGTTCATGTGTAGGAAATGGTCAATTCAACCAAGAAAGGCAACAATGTGGCATGTAGGCAAGATGTACATTAGTTAATAAAAAGAAGTTCACCCTAGCTACCCCAGATAAGAAAATATCCAAGAGAAAAGGAAATTCAAACCCTAAGGGCTACATTCCAAAGGAAGACAATTGCTTGCATTTATTCTGGCTAACCAGTTGACCATGAATTGTAGGAAATGTTGGGATCTTTCTTGTATCTGGGTTTGTCTCTCCTACAGCATTCTCTGTTAGCAAGTGGCCCAACTGACTCCTACTGATTTTCTGTCACTTTCACAATTTTATTGATGGTTGCTAATGATCTCTCATACGTAGGGTTTTTTTTCCTCTTTAAAATATAACCTTAAAAGTTTTGCTCATACATGATTTTTTATTGCAGGCACATAATTCATTTTAAAAGTGTAAACATGCAGAAAAATAAGACCCCATATGCACCCAATTTGTTGTTTAAAAAAAATTATAGGGCTGGGGTTATGGCTCAGCGATAGAGTGCTCACCTAGCACTTGTGGGGCACTGGGTTTGATCCTCAGCACCACATAAAAATAAAAGGCATTGTTTTGTGTCCTTCTACACCTAAAAAATAAATGTTAAAAAAATAAGTAAATAAACTAAAGGTATGGTATCCAACCATAATGAAAAAAGATTTTTAAAAAAATTTGTAAGTGGTATTATGCTCTTTGATATATCCTATTAAGCTGGAATATGGCGTATTTCTAGGGTTCTCTGTATGACCTAGCCTATCAATATTTTCCTTTAGATTGCTAGAGGGCAGGGACTGGATGGTGAACCTGCAAGTAATTCTATATAAAGATGTTTACAGTGGCTGATGAATGAAGTCTCATGTGGTGGTGAGTTTCCAATGCTCTCTGAGGATTAAATATTAAGCCTGAGAAGCTACAGCAGCTATCCTTTTATCAACAGATTTCCAGAGACCTCAGAACGGAGGACAAGAAGACACTCATCTCCACCTAGTGTTTTTTTTTTTTTTTTGAGAGAGAGGGAGAATTTTTTAATATTTTTTAGTTTTTAGTTTTCAGCAGACACATCTTTGCTAGTATGTGGTGCTGAGGATCGAACCCGGGCCGCACGCATGCCTGGTGAGCGCACTACTGCTTGAGCCACATCCCCAGCCCACCACCTAGTTTTTATTTCATGTATTTGTTTATTTATTTATTTATGGTAATGGGGATTGAACCCAGGGGTGCCTAGCCACTGAGCCACATCCCCAGTCCTTTTTAGTATTTTAGAAGTAGGGTGTTGCTGAGTTGTATGGGGCCTCACTAAATTGCTGAGGCTGGCTCTGAACTCTCAATCCTCCTGCCTCAGCCTCCTGAGCCGTTGGGATTACAGGAGTGTGCTGTTGTGCCTGGCTCCACCTAATTTTTATACTCATCTCCACCTAATTTTATTGGCTTTCAGCCCATCTTGTGCTGCTGCCAGGATGGCAGTATTCTAAGCTGCAGCCTTTCCCCTGGACAACGTTAACATTTTGTAAATCAAGGGAAATCATTTGGTACCCAACCAAACTGTTCACCTTACAAGCATACTGGCTATTTCCCTGCCTCCTAAGAGCCTTCAATAGGGTTGTTTTCAAATGAAGTACCAATCTCAGAATTTAGTGAAAATTTCCACTTCATTTGCACCTCTCTTGTAGCAGTTACTGCTTCTTTCCCCCACTGGGCAGTAAATCAGTCCCTAGAAGTCTGCTTTGGTACATTCCCCAAAGAAGATCCATTTCCTGGGGAGATGAGGACCAGCAAAGCCTTGGAGACAAAAGACTTGAGTTGGATTTTGCCAGATGAACCTGTGAGGGGCTTGCACAGGGAGAATCCTGTATTCGTAGCTTTCCCTCTACCCTTCCAATATCCCTGAGTGTCACTCCCAGCAGTGATTCTGAATCCCAAGGGAGGGGCTGTTTTCTAGTAGGCAGTAGGGCTTTTACATTTTTAAAAACCCTCCTCTCCACAGGGCCATACAACCTCTTCCCATTTATTGCTGTACATGGCAGAAATCCTTTGAATGGTTACTCTTTTTAAAGAATACAATATCAGATTTTAGAAAAATGACTACTCAGGGTTTTGATTCACTTAGGCTCATGGAGATGTGGTTCAAGGTTCTTCCTAGACTCATCATCATGGGTGTGAGTTTGCTTGTCTGGGAGTGGCCACTGCATACATCCACAAGTTCCCAGAAAGGGGCAAGGAAAAGGGGCTGCTCGTTACCCAGATCAGTGAAATCTGAAGGAAAGAGATAGGCACATCTCTGGAGTTAATTGTTGCTCAAAGCGTTTGGAAGCTTTTTCCTGACTAATGAAAAATAACTCAGTTACGGTCATCTACACTTGCTAGAAAGCTATGCAGCATATTATGTAGTATGCAGTCAGTATGTTATATAATGCTTGATAAAAATAAAGTGGAAAAATTACTCCTAAATAGAAACATGTATTACCAGCTCCCTTACAGTCACATCTACTGGAAAATTCTACAAGTATTTCAAACTGCAATTCTTTTTTTTTATATATATTTATTTAGTTGTAGATGGACATAATACCTTTATTTATTTATTTTTATGTGGTGCTGAGGATAGAACCCAGTGTCTCACTTATGCTAGGCAAGTGCTCTACCACTAAGCCACAAACCCAACCCTCAAATTCCAATTCTCTTTAGGGCACACATAGGATTTTTTTTTTTTTTTTTTTTTTTTTGGTACCAAGGATTGAACCCAGGGGCACTTAACCACTGAGCCACATCCCCAGCCACCTTTTTATATTTTATTTAGAGATAGGGTCTCCCTGAGTTATTTAAGACCACTAAATTGCTGGGACTGAATCCATGATCCTCCTGTCTCAACCTCCCAAGCCACTGCACCCAGCAATGGTTTGTTTTTATAGCTTATTCAATGCATAATTGATACATAATAAATTGCACAAAGAATACACAATTTGATAAGCTCCAACACATGTATATATACATTACCATATCACCAAAATAAAAATTAAGACCATTTCTATCATCCCTAAAAGTTGCCTGTGCTCTTTTATAATCTACCATCCTCATCACCACTTGTCTTATTCCCAGCATTATGGACTATACCAACTGGTCATGTTGTGCCCTGCACCTCCCCATCCTATAATAAAGCCAGTCACAGTTCCCCATTTCCCTAGCCATAGGATGGGCTCATAATACCAGTTGGGCCACACAGATATTTTTCTTTGGGGAATGTGGATCTGAAGAAGACATGGGGCCAGGAGGTAGTTGGAGCTGAGTCTTCAAGTGGCAATCCTCACATTCCTGCTGCAGGCACCCCTGAGCTGGCTCTTGTCCTTCCTCCAACCTGACTGTTCTTTGTTCTACGAGCGGCCTACTCTCCTGCCAACATGCCGCAGTCCCGCTGCAGCAGAATAACCTGGGGGTGACGAATAACTTGTGTAGATTGATACAGCAGGAGTAGGAGCCGTTTATTGCAGGACAGGAGCAGTATTTATACATTCCACACAGCTTATCTAATTAGCATAAACTAGATACATCAGTCAACCAATAAGGAATCTCCACACTTAATGGCTTGCTTTTGTTACTTCTCAAACCACTCCCTCTGGCATTTTGCCAGGCACCATCCAGACTTGTTTACAGACTCTAACACCAACATATCCTTTATTGCTTAATTTCCACTTCATTTGCACCTCACTTGTAGCAGTTACTGCTTCTTTCCCCCACTGGGCAGTAAACTTGCAACTGGAGGGCCCGGATAAATATGCTTCCTTCTACAGTCACTGTTTCAGAAAATGACACCACCACATTCTAGTCTCTCAAATTTAACCCAGAATAATTCTTTAAAACCTCAGTGTCTATAACATGTCTAACCCATCATTAAATCCTGACTGTTCCTTTCTCTGCTCAATGTTCTCACTGCTTTTTTAT